GGGAGTTTTCAGCTGAAAAAAAGGAAAACTTTGGAAAGGATTGTTGCAAAGCTGGGGAATACCATTACTGAACATAAGACATGATAAACAGAGCTGGTAAGGAACAGAGCACGGTAGAGTGGGAACAGAGAAGGGTAGAGTGGGATTGTGAAGGGCAGACTGCTAGAAGCAAGGGAATGTGTGGAGCGATCACAGAGGTAGGCCGGTGGGAGACGTGGTAATGAGGGCAGGGTAGGAAAGGAGAAGGACCCGACAGGGGCAGAACGGCACATAATGCGAGGTGGATAGTAACGACTTTTTAGGTTTTCTAGACTCTTTTGATTGTGTGGTACTGAGCAAGCTTGGTGATTTGCAGCCTGAGAGGCTGCTAGGAGGGCCCTGCCCACGCCTTACTCCCCACTGAGGCCCTTAAGCTGCATGACTGAGTGCCGCCACTAAGTTTCCCGGCCAGCGGAAGGACCCCAGGGGAGGACATGGTTTGGGGGGCGGGTCAGCTCGTAGCAGCCCCTGAGCCCCCGCCTTGAGCAGGTGACTCGTAATGCAAGGGCTAGGCTGACCCTCCTCTTCTCTTTGCCTTTTTCTTTTTTCCTCTCTTGTACTCATGCTTGCCGGCAATAAGCAACCGGACTGACGCCCCCCAGAATAGAAGGGGCTTGTGTTGTTTCGGAAAAAAATAATAAATAAATAAATAACATATCTGAACCAGACTGGTTCCCCCTGGAATAGATGGGCCTTTTTCTTTATAAAAAAAAAAAAAAAAAAAAAAAAAAAAACTTCACGTTCGAACATATCAGCACCATAATACTACCATCAAGCTCGGAGCAGTATGCTACCAAAGATGCAGTGTGTTACCGAAAAAAAAAACTCACGCGTGAACAAACATGTACCCTCCAGCTACCAGCAGCGGCGTGTCACCGAAGATCTCTCGATAAATGAACGAAAATGGTTCCCGAAACCCGACAAGTGTTCATGACACTGTTACAGAATCTCGGTTATCTTTACTGAAAGAATCTAAGATTCTCTTCACTGACAAAATCTGGATTCTCTTCACTGACAGAATATGGATTCCTTTTTGTTTCAAACTTTTTTAAAGGGCAACTGCCTTGACATGGAAATGACTGGCCCCAGATAATTCAGAATCATTTTATTCTGCTCATCTCATACTTGCAACCGCCGCAACGGTGTGCGGCGCGGCACCTGCCCGTGCACCGTACCAGCAGCAATTTCTTTTAAATTTTTTTGCTGTTTCTTTAGATACAGAAGAGTGTACTACCTACGGAACTGATCCTGTTCAAGTACAGCTGTACATTTATTTTTTTTTAACATTGTTCTTTTTGTCCCATTGGGCATGAGAAATGGCCTCAAATAGGTGTTTGGGACATCAGTCTTGACTGTTACATGGCCGCATTAGAGTATACTCACACTAGGCGCTCAAAATCGCAAAGTAGCAAAATCAGCGGCTGGATCGAGTCCTCACTTTACAAGGACTCCATCTGGCCACTGATTTTGCTATTTTGCAATTTTGAGGGCCTAGTGTGAGTATGCTCTTACTCTCCAAACTTGTTTCCTTTTTGTTTCAATCCCACAACAAATTTCCAAAGGGGCCGCAGGTGACCACTGATCCAGGACTATTTCCGCTGCGCGCTGCACGGATCCAGTGCGCTTGCACACCGTATGTGTGCAATTGTCTGCACGGGATGCGCTTACATGTAACTTCGCCTGATCGCATCTCGACCCTCTGGTTTGTATTTCAACAGTTCATGGGTGCTTCTATACGCTGACAGAATTTGGATTTACTCCACTGACAGGTTAGAAAAAGTGATCACGGGTTAAGCTAGGGTTAAGGGTTTAATTTCAAAAGGACAAGGTTTTGGATTTATTGTCGGGAAGGTTCGTCGTCAGGGTCCCATCAAAAAGCATAACACTGGGTAATGCTCCCAAACCCGGTCTTTATGTGGGGAGGCCAGCCCCTTTTACTTTTGAGTTAATAATGAAAGGGACCTCCGAACCTGTTTTTTTAATTTTATTTTTATTTTTTTTTATAACTGGATTCGCCTCACTGACAGAATCTGGATTCTCTTCACTGACAGAATATGGATTCTCTTCACTGACAGAATCTGGATTCCCTATGCCCAACAGTGAGGGGCCCTGTCGGCCAGAACTTAAATTCATGAGCAGCAACCCAAAAGACAAAGTTCCTGAGGCAAATGTCACATCCATAATGAAATGAAAAGTCAATTTGAAAGGTCACAAACAGGTCCTGAACGAACAGGTATTGGACACAATTTTCAAGACTGAGTTAGGGTCATGTCTCCTCGATGAAAAGATATGTCTGTTCAGCAACGAGTCAAAGGCTACAGTCCCAGTCCAGTCATAATCCCACGAGTCAGTCCTGATTCAGACCAGGAGTCCAAAAGACAGGCCCGATGGCCCAAAGCAGCAGCAGACCATGGGAAAAGATACTGGGACACACTTTGCAACAACGGGTACTGGGCAGGAGTCCCAGACACTTGAGGCTGAATGCAGGCCATGCCAGGCCAGTCCAACACTGTAAAGGACTGGCCAGCCTCCCATTTGGACARATGCTCACTTCGCATGAGAGTGTGGAAGTGCTGTGGCACTTGTGCGCTAGATGTGTGTGAGCTGCGCTAGGCTGAAGAGCAGCGCTATGTGGGAAGGAAGAGAGTGCTGGCTAGAGGGAAGGCAGCCATAGCTGCGCCAGCGCTAGTTRGTATGTTAGTAGGGATAGTCRGTAGGAGATACCAGTGAGTAGTATTCAGAGTAGATCCTCGTGTGATAGKGAGTGTGCATGCATGAYGAGTGAGGGTMGACCAGGACTATAGACATAGASGGAGACAGAGAAGAAGGCAGACAAGAGAGGGGGAAGTGTGAGCTATGGTGACACTTACCTGTTGAGCGCTGTTGTTGACATTTGGCAGCTGGTGCTGATGAGCGCCAGGCTTGGAACTCGTGTTGATCAAAGAAGACTTGTAACTCTGTTCAGCGCTATATATATATATATCGTCAAATATATATATTGTCACATCACTACAAACTAAAAGAGCGCACTTTGCGGAACAAAGAATAAAAGCAAAAAACGGGCACAGTGATAACATGCAAAAATAAAAACAAAAAGAAAAAACAAGGGCAGATTGAAACCATTAAATTTCTCATTCTTCTTTGAACTCCACCTCCACTGTGCCTCTCACGTGCAAGGCTCGCCACGTTGATGAAGTTGAGCGCGAGCTGCCCCCATCCCCGTATGCCATAACAGCCCACTTGCACGCTGTGAGAGAGGCAGAGTGAAGGGGAAGGTGTTAAACACAGGGAAAAGCTCAAGAATGAGGCTGTCCTTGACGACAGAAAGGACACACATTGTAAGGATGGGGTGGATGAGCGCATGGAAGACCTAACTGAGCATTCTCAAAACAACAACTGCCACGACGGCTGGCATGAAGCATGCCAACCATACATTCCTGACAAATAGCGTGTCTATTGCAGGCCAGAATAAAGAAAGAACGCCCCCGACAAAAGAGCATGCATTCAGCATAGTGTCCGGATGAGGAGGGTGCCTGCAGTCAGGAACGGAGGGACAATCCTGTACACACATGGATGCAGAAACCATCTCGTGGTAGTGATTGTGACAAAGATGATGGCGAGTACAGCCAAGTGCAACAGTGTCTGTGGCTGTGCAAAGGAGAAGGTCACACAGTGTCTGTACATTGTACTGCTGCACTACGGTGCCAGAGGAATGATCTTCGACATAAAGGAGGTTGCAGACAGTTTGATGTGGCAAGAGAACAGCATCATAGAGTAAGAAATCAGTAATATCAATCATGGCATATATATATATATATATATATATATGGATTCCCTTCACTAACAGAATCTGGATTGTCTTCACCGACTCCTCAGAATTTTTTAACTGCTACAGAATCTGGATGGTCTTCGAAACGTTTTGCAAATTCGCAGAGTACACAAAGTGTCAACCATAGGAGCAATGCTGTTGGCAAACAATTAGAAAAATAAACCTCACTGGACTCTGCAGTACGAGGTAACATACGGGAGTTATTTGGCGCGCCGCAGCTAACGGCTGTGGTCAAAAGCCCTCTGAACGTCTCCGCAATCAAGCTGGCCACCGCATTGGACGGTCCAAAAGGGACAGAAACGATGGGCACCATCAGGTCCGATTTGCCGGTACCATGTGGGCCAAGTCGTACTATGTGCCCTGGGTGCCACCATGCGGGTTGGGTCGCACAACACGGTATGAGTCATACAATGTGGACAGTGAAGTACCATGCGGGACGTCGGTTGCATGATACTATGTGGTGCGGTTCATACTATGTGGCCCAGGTGGTACTATCTGGAGCAAGCAGGTCCGGCGGCGTGGCCGGGCAGGTACCGTGCAGGGCAGGTGGGTGATGTTCCGCGGGTTGGGTGGACCATTCCTCTTGTGCAGGGGCCATGCTAATCTTCTCTGCATCGTTGATCATTTCTCGATTTATGTGTGTCATCCTTGCGCAGGAGCCATGCTAATCTTCTCTGCATTGTTCCAATTTTACAGATGTCCCGAAGGACATGGGTCGGGTCGTACAAACGACCCAATGCAGAAGAAAGGAAAAACAAAAAAACACAAAAGAGCAAGCAACTAGCTGGACTAGCTCAGTTGGTATACCCCTGAACTGTTGAAATACAGACCTGAGTTCGATCTCCACTCAGGCCCTTCTGGGTGAACGTAAAGTCTCCCTATCTTCACTCAAAGACTAAGAGGCAGCCGTCGTCAAACCGAGCAGCAGGAGGCTCGCACCTCCGAGGCCGGCTCGGGAGATAAAGTCAGAACGAATGAGGATAACGAACTCGATTATGTAGTGGCTGAACAACATGATTCTCTAAGTCAGCGAGTAATGGCTTGGACTCTTAGGAATGGTTCTGGTAATACATATAACATCAGAGCAATACAGGCAATCCCTAACGCGCCTTCGGCGTCAGTAAGGCACAAAGAATACCTCCAAGACGCAGACGAGTAAAATACTATAATTCTGAATTACCTAGGGCCCCTCAGTTCCAGGATGATATCTCAAGGCTATCACCCTTAAAACCACCACTACCTTCGAGCCTCTTTTTGCTGGCGCTGCCAGCCATTTTGGTCCGGTGGCCCCCGGCCTCCAAAGAATGCGGTATAGGTTATACCGCATTCTTAGGAGGTTTTGAGTTTGCCTGCAGAAGATAGTGGTGGTTCAAAGAAGAAATTGGAAAAAAAAAAACAAGGAAGTCAAGCCCAAGTAGGTCGTTCACCCTTCAACTATCAATAGACAGACTTGAGCTCCAAGGCCACTAAGAACCCACTCAGGGCAAACTCACACTCGCTCTATCTTAAATGTCTCTGAACTCATTTCCTGCTGGACTTGGATGTATATGACAGCAATTACGTCCAAAGACGTGAAAACTGAACCCGAGATCTTTCCTTTTTTCGGCTTGCCATCCTTGCGCTGGGGCCAACCTCCAGATGCCAAGAGCAAACTATGGCCTCTCTCAACTATTCACCACATGCACAAAAGACAAAAAATATGGCCGTGTATCTTCCCATGTTCTTGCAGAAGATTCATTCGCATTTTGCACATCTGGTGAGCAGTGGAGCGAGGCCCTATGTACTCCGATTTGAACATATGGTATATGGACAGATTCAGGGCCCGACTTGCTATGAAGTTGTGTTCAAACATACGACACAAATGACAGATTTAATTATGTCCACGAAAGTACACAAAGAAAGGATGTGAAACAAAACGACAAAACCAAGTCACCTAAAAGAAAACACGCCACGCCACGAGTCCCGCACTCCGAGCTCCTCGCCGACCACGGAACAAAAACCTAAACACTGTGCCACAGAACAAAACCGGAACAACGACCCAACACCACCAGGACATCCAAGCCCTGCATCTCTGGAAATACGTAAAACAGATCCCAAAAGAAAAAGAGAAAACGCCACACAGGGAAAACGGGACACCACTGGGACACACTGGGCCCAGTGAGGAGCATCTTCCAAAACCCGCTCTGCGATTTAAGTATTAGAGATTAAATTGAATGATTTGAGGCCTGAGGCAGGCCTTAAACCACCAGTACATGGCCGCAGGCAACTGGAGAACCTGTTTTGAGCCTCTCCTAAAATTTAGGAGGCCAAGCACCGTCGATAAAATGAATCGGCGGCGGGCGGCCTCCGAAAGGGGCCTGCGGCCAATAGATGGCATGTACTGGTGCTTTAAAGCCACCACTACCTCCTCAAAAATCAGTTGAACCCCTGCAGCCAGAAAAAAAAGACCTGTGGCGATCAGATGTCAATCCAATGGACCAACCAAAAAAGAGCACGCCTCCAGGTAACCATGGCAGTGGTAAAAAGGTAATGGTGGTTTAACTGTCTATTCCGGCAGCGAAGTCTTCCCAAACATGAGTAGCAGGTGTACCCCTTTGGCAGCAGGCTTGCATGCACTTTTATTGCCGCCTCTTTAGAATAGATAGCAGAGAGTAGAAGAGATTCAGAGCAAAGGGGAGCCTTTGCAGTCTATGACGAGAAGAACAAAATGTTTGGCGCTGCAAATAAAGAAGCACATGGAACAATCGGGTTCTGTGTTGCAGAGCTGCACAACTCGGAGAACAGTTGCCTGCATGTATCCCGCCAATCCCTATAAGACCGGAAGTAATTAAGGGGCCTGTTAAGGGGGGCTCAGAGCACCCGTAAGAGCGTTTACTGATAGGAGAAGCATCTTTCACCATGACTGGTATTTCTAAGCTGCCGAATGCTTTGGTGGCTTCCATCCGCACCACCACCCATTCACTCTAGGAAGTCACAGTTCAGGAAGTTGAGTGGTCCAGCAGTGGAGGGGTGGAGCGGGTTGACGGGGTTGTCGAGTTGAGGGGTTGAGGGGTTGAGGGGTTGAGGGGTTGAGGGTTTGAGGATTTGAGGATTTGAGGGTTTGAGGTTTGAGGGTTTGAGGGGTTGAGGGGTTGAGGTTTGAGGGGGGGTTGAGGGGTTGAGGGGTTCAGGAGTTTTGAGGAGTTGACGGGTTGCAGAGTTGACGGGTTGATGGGTGATGGGGTGATGGGGTGATGGGGTGATGGGGTGATGGGGCGACGGGTAATCACAGACAAATATTCCTAAACTTAAGTGAGATGTGGGGTTTGGATTTGTTGCTTTGTTGCTCACGGCATACCTTCTCAGGGCGGAACTGCGCTACTGATACCAAGTACCTAGATGGCCCTGACCTTTCCAGAGGAAGTTTCTGCTTGCAAACACCTCACCATCACACAGGAAGAATACAAAATAAACTCATCAGTTAATCTTTCCTGGCCAAGCTTCATATCACTAACAAAATGGCAACATGGCAGCTCAAACAGTCTTCACTTGTTGAGACTTATTCGTCTGGTTTGCAAGTGTTTTTTACTTTTTTTTTTTCTTTCTTCTAATATGGGCAGGTGCAAAGTATGCATGCTGGGAACCTCTGCTCTCCGTTCTGCGGTCGGAGGCGTGCATGTTGTCTGTCTGCAAAAGTACACACAGAGAGAAGGGAAAGAGAGAGAGAGAGAGAGAGAGAGAGAGAGAGAGAGAGAGAGAGAGAGAGAGAGAGAGAGAGAGAGAGAGAGAGAGAGAGAGAGAGAGNAGAGAGAGAGAGAGAGAGAGAGAGAGAGAGAGAGAGAGAGAGAGAGAGAGAGAGAGAGAGAGAGAGAGAGGATTATGAGGCAGCAGCTCTGCATCAACAACTATTTGGCAGACATTTCCCATCGCTCTTGCTCAGATGTATCATCATCTCCAGGGCGCTCACCTCAGGCTTGTGATATCCTTTCGGTCAGCTCCAGGGGGTCCTGACCTTTCGCTCCTACCTCGGCACCTTTTGGTGGCAGGACCTTGGATGCAGCTGTGATGCATCCACTCTCTGGCTATTCCAGAGAGGCTATGAAACTTGGACTTCAACATTCTACGATCTCCGTTGAGATCAGGAGATGAGTAGTGAGTCTGTGAATTTCAGATTTTCAATAGGCCCTAACACAGAAAAGTGACTGAGCATACAGTTCCGTGTCAATCTGTTGCGTGGATAGTGTTGGTACACTTTTCATGCTGTCGATTGGTGTTTTTCTTTTTCAAGTCTTTTGCCATATTCATCCCTTATCATTCATGTTGACGTCATCTTTGCATGCCGATTGGTGTTTTTCTTCATGCTGTTGAGGACGGCAGTGTTTTGCATTTTTCTCAACGTCGCACAACTTATTGTAATGCTGTTGACGACGACATTCTTGTGCATTGTTGTTGACATCAAACTTCTCTCACACATTCGAGGAGGAGGTGCTTGGGAGGCTACGATGCCTGGAAGCATATTCTCGTTCTCATAGTCGAACTACTTGTCTTGCACATAATTTTTGCTCTCCTGCCTTGCATCTGCCAAGTCTTGCACAGGCGACGCATCACCCCCTTGCCTATGGCGCTTGATGACCAGGCACGACAAGTGGATGTTATGCATTCTTCCACGTGGCACCCAATGCCCAGCTAAGTTATGGCACGTGGCACTGAGCCACACACCTCCCGTTGTTCCCATCAAGGTGCAAGATACATTCCATAAACAATTAACAACCGTCAGCGATGTGCACCAACGATCCTAGCTCAGTTGGTGCACCCCCGAACTGTTGACATACAGAGCCAAGTTCGAATCCAGATACAATCAGATGCCCAGGGGAAAAAAAGATGCCCAGGGGGAAAAAAAAGAGAAAAAAGAAAAAGAACCGTCAGAGATCTACTTATGGCTTACGTGATTGGGTTGTGGGATGACACACCAGGCAGGTGTTGCAGTTGGTGAATACATGAGCTCCAGGGGCGAGGTCCACTTGCCCTAATTCTTCGTTTCCGACCACTGATTAAGAAGATTGAAGGCCAGAAACAAAGGATCATGGCAAGTCGCACCTAACTCCAGGACAGAGGCAAGAAAGAAAGGCTAAAGGATGAGGAGGACAAACGTACAGCAGACAAGGGTGAGGAATGGCCCGCGCGCGCGCGCGCGCGCGAGAGAGAGAGAGAGAGAGAGAGAGAGAGAGAGAGAGAGAGAAGAATGGAAGACAGAGGTTGAAGACAACACAGCAGAAGCAATGACAGAGGCTAACTTAGGTTGTTGGGGATCCCGAGCACCTCCCGCCATTCCCATCAAGGTGCAAGATACATTCCATGAACAATTAACATCTGCGATTGTGTTGTGGGACGGCATACCGAGCAGGTGTTGCAGTTGGTGAATACATGAGCCCCAG